ATTCGGTTTTCTATTCGGTTCTGATTTGTGTTTTTTTGTTTTTTTTTTTGTTTTTTTTTTGGGTTCTAAAGATATAAGAATTGTTTGGTTATTTATGAATTTCAGTTTGTATTTTCTTGGTTTTGTTCTGTTTTGGATAACAATGGTAGAAACTAACTAATAAGTTTTGGGTCCACTTGGATCCCTTTCGGTCTGTTTTCGGATAGTTTTGGATAATTCATGAAATCAGAGTTCTTTGTATTTTCTAGACAAAAATTGGCTAATTAAAAATATTTTGGTTCTTTCAGGCTTAGATATTTTTTAATTATTTCGGAAAAGTATTTTGTTATTCAAAATTTTTGAGTAGTTTGATTTATATGTAATGTTTTTAGAATATCCGGTTATTTTAAACTAAATATAATTAATATTTTTAGGTATGTTAACTGTATTTTAGATTTCCGGGTTTGATTTTTTTGTTCGATTCCGGTTTGGTTTTCGATTCTCGTTTATATGCCTAGACCGAGTTGCCTCATTGCAGTGAAGTTTAAGATTTTAAAACAAAACACCAAATAGGTTATATGAAAATAAAGATCTACAAAGTATAACAATAATCTATGCAATGGGTTTAGAAAAAGTAATGTGAACTCTCCTTCCTCATGAAAGTATAACAATGGCCTGTATAGTAATAGTTGTGTAACAGAATTAGTAAATATTTAGAATACTTTAGTTTTTATATTGCAAATTAACACTTTGACTCGGGGTGTGGAAATTATTTATGGTTTTCCAGTGGTGGTGTAATTTTTTTTTGGGGGGGGGGGGGGGGGGGGGTTAGCAATGGTTATCTGGAAAAGAGAATTGTTTGAGGGAAAAGGAGAAAGACATCAATGAGTGCTTATTTTCAATCATTTGGATTACATATGTGTTTCTGGGTAATGGTTTTTATGTGACTACTGCAGGTACTGTATATATTTTTGGGAAGCAGAGTAGTAGATATTTTATTTGTAAACATAAATGGATTTGGTTGAAAGCTCCTTAATTAAATATAAAAACTTGGGGGAGAGGGGTTTATATAAAATACAAAAATCTTAGCATTTGCTTATAATTGTAGCATCAGTTGCATCTATTCTTTATATTATTGGGTGATCTGTTATTGTCGACACTATTTTAATGAGAAAGGTTGTTACGTGACATGAGAGATGCTTCACCTATATATACTCCATGCAAAGATGTATCGATTTATTTCTAACATTGATCTTTCATGGGTTTTGATTTTTTTTTCCATTCAAGTCTGTCCTATATTTACCATTCCTCTAAACATGATTATGCCATATAGGTAAGTGATAAAGATTCAAACACCCCGCGGCTAATTGGAGATGATGGACTTATAATTCAGAGCTGTTTTTTATGAAAATACTTTATATGACATGGGAGTGAGAAACCGCATTTCGTCGTTATGCATAGGAGGAAATAGAAGATTTAGGGGGTTACAAGCAAGGAAGCAGTACAAGAAGATCTTATGGTCGGTAGGAGTAATGGAGAAGGCAATAAACAGGTGGAGACAAAAGAGAAAATTGTTCAGAGGACTCCAAGTGAGCGAAGTTGAGGCAGAGGAAAAAGCAGAGGAAGATTTCTATAAGGCGAGCCAGAGACAAGCAGAGGAGAGGCTAGAGAGATCTGTAGTGCGGGTCCACGCCATGTTCAGGTCTAAGAAAGCTCAAGAGGATTACAGGAGGATGAAACTCACTCATGAAGAAACTCAGGTAAAATTATGTTTTGCTTTTAGAAACTCTCAGTTTAAAGATTCTTGAATTAACAGAGAGTATTGTTGATGGTGTGATGCAGTTAGAGTATGAGTTCCTGCATGATATTTGATCAAAAATTGTTGCTATGGAGAGGTGAATCCTAGAGAGTTGGTGTGGAGTATTGATGCACTTGATCTGTAAACTACTTTCCACCTTCCCAAAATGGTTAGAATAAAATGTTACATAACTCAGAGTCTCAGCCAATCTATGTTGTTGGTGATTTTATGGGAAATGATAAACAAATTTAACAAATAATAGTAAATAACTAATACTTCTAGTTATTTTTCTATTTTTGTAATTGAATTCCTCTGATCTAAATCTAGAACTTGTAAATTTGTAGAAGCAAATAGCTGTGAAATAATTCCTAAATTGGAAGCCATGCATGGCATGTCTTCATCTGTTCTCAAATACATAATGGCCAAAAAGTGGATTTAATTACTAATAACATAACATTTCATCACTAAACAATCATGATTAGTAAACTTTTAACGATATAAGCTTATCTCATATAAAGATTCTTCTCTCTTCGTTCTATAAAGATAAATGTTCAAGGATATAAATTTGCTTCGCCAAGATAGATTTCTATGCATAATTAATAAGTTAAAAAAACAACTTGTTAAATTCAAGAAAATTTGATTCAAACTATAAGTTCAAAATTATAGGAAACTGTCATTTACACATAAAATAAGATATTTATTTCTATGCAATAATCATCTATTAATATGTGTGAAAAAACTAAAAATCTATCATTGTGGAAAATAGATAATATATCACTAATCTATGAAAACTTTATAATGCAGTAACCATCTCATCATTAATATATTTAATGTAAACGGAATCTTATTTAGTTGTTATTTCTGTTTATTGGAGTTTTTGTAATGATTTTTTGTGAATATAATTATTGTGAGTTTGAATATTAATTATTTGTTTACACCGAGAAAAAATTGTTACAAAATGAAAATATATATTGCATAAAGAACATTACAATGGACAGTATATATATAATATGTGTTAGATCAAACACACAAATATGCAACATATATATATATATATAAAATATGCAAACAAATAAGAAAATAATAGAAGACTGTAAATTGAAAACTAATTATTAAACACATGCAGTAGGAAACGTTTCGCAAAAGAAATTGCGAAGTCGACCACCGTCGGTTGAAGGAACAGCAAATTCTTCATGACTTATTTGTTGTGTATTACAAAACTTTTTGCAAGCTTGTTCACAAATTTTCGGATCAGATTTCTCGGATACTTTCATGCACTGGTTCATGATACAATGTTTGACACATTTCTCAACATTGGTTGAAAGAGAATTTTTTGCCGAAAACATCACTATACATATAGCTATAATCATAAACATAGTACATGAATTTTTAAGAATTTGAGTTGTCATAATGTATATATGATTAGAACAAATGTGATTTATATAAGTTTCGTCTTTTTTAGATGGTGAACAAGACGATTCTAATATTGTGTTAGTCTAGATGATTTATATAGTAAAGTTAATGATGATTATTTTTAGAAATTTTTTTCAGTTTGTTTGATGGTTATTTTTTTAATATATATACATCGAATCATTTCTGTGGAACTTACCTATATTTTGATGTGTTTTTTATCTAACAAATTTCTGTTATAACAATAAAATATATGTCATTTGTAGTTATTATAGTTATATATTAAAAACATTTATGGTAACACAATATTATATCAAAGGTTTTGTTTAAACTCATTAAATTATGGTTTTTATTTGAAATTTTGAAATTTGAAAATTAAATTTATTTGTACAAAATTTCAGGAATTTAAATTTTAAAGTTCAAAAAATATTTTTTCTCCTTATGATTTATTAAAATAGCAATATATATCAAACTAATAACATGTTATACATTGTTAATAGGTTAGTAAAAATTATGTATACATGTAGGATATAGAATGATAATTTGTAGCAACTTCAAAAGATTGTCAATACTTACGACATACAGTTTTAATTATTACTATTGTTATAATATTATAAGAAATATTAATTTATATAATATATTAGTTTGTTGTCACTGTATAGCTAATTATTATTGACCGGTAGGTGTTTTGTATGCTCAACAAGCGGATTGTGTCTTATAGTTTCTTATAAATATTAATTTATGTTTATTCGAGCGTTCATACGAGTCCACTAAAATGATGCTAGTCTTTGGTTATGTGTTCTACCCATGTTGTTCTCTTGTTCGTTTCATCTTGGACCTTCTATAATGTTTGGTGGTTCTTCTTGGTTTAACCTTGTTGGACGGGTTGGTGGTGCTTCGGTTCCCTTTTTCCTCTTTGTGTTAGATCCAATATCTTCTTGGTTCTAGTTTGTTCGATGTTATACACCAACTGTAGTTGTTGTTGGATATTAAAGCAATTTCATTTTGGCTTCGCCGGGTTCGCTGTATCTTGGGACGAGGTTAAAGCAAGATATTTATATTTATTTTTTGTACCGTCACCTTGTGGTGGCTTGGAAAACAACTTTCAACTCGATGAAATATTCTTAACAGAAATCGAGTGGAGACCATTAAAATTGTCTCAGTAAACTTAAACTATGGCCATCTCTGATGAGGAAGCGCATTGATACTGATATCACAAATAATGCCTCTTTTGGTTACAGCTTTAGCTAATTGAGGAATATGAGTTTGAAGAAGGGATACCATAAAATTGGTCTACAAGAACCAATATGTTGGTTGATTTTTGTAATATGGATTTTGTTTTTTCCCTCTTTTGAGCTTATTTATATCAACAACTGGTGAGTGCCTACTGTTACTCTTTTGAATTTATACTTTCAGTATTTTACTTTTTCGAAGTTTGAATTAAACAGTGTTGAAAAGTAATTCAGTCATAATATATTAAAAAGACTAGGGCGGCGAACTATTTCCCCACAAAAACTTGTATAGCATCTAATGTCTCCATAACAAAACTTCTATATTTATCTCTCCCTTAATCAAAGTTTGAAATCTATATACCCGAAAACTGGATTATTTTGGTTTACTATATAAGTTAAACCAAAAATTAATAAAATTGATTGTAAACCAATAGAAGACCAATTATACAATAAATCAAAATTAATTTTCACCTAAACTGACACCATATTAAATTTCATGAACCAAAAAATTGCTTTTAAAGTAACTATTAGTAGTTACTTTTTCTGGTTTACATACTTTCTTTTGGGTTTGAAGCGAGAAAATGGTGGCGGCTCTTCTCACTGCTGGGGCTAAACCGAACTTAGTGACAGATTCAAGAAAGGATGCTTTGGCGGCCTAGCGAACAGCTGCGGAAGCAGCAGCTAGGATTCAGGGATCGTTTAGGGAGACGGCGTGGAAGGTGGCAATGTCAATAGTGATCGAGTTTGCTAACAAGGAAGAAGAGGCTAAGAGTATAATCGCGGCGATGAAGATTCAGAATGCATTTCGCAAATATGATACGCGTAGGAAGATTGAAGCTGCTTACAAAATTCAGTGTAGGTTCCAAACATGGAAAATGAGAAGAGAGTTCTTGAATATGCGGCGTCAAGCAATTAGGCTCCAGGTACTCAGTGATATGGCTTTACATGGATAAGACTTGAGTTCATGAGTTCTGTCTGAAGCTCGCAACCCATGAGTTTCTTTTGTAGGCTGCTTTCAGGGGGTTACAGGCAAGGAAGCAGTTCAAGAAGATCTTATGGTCGGTAAAAGTGTTGGAGAAGGTAATAATCAGGTGGAGACAAAAGATAAAATTGTTCAGAGCACTCTAAGTGAGTGAAGTTGAAGCAGAGGAAAACGCAGAGAAAGATGACAGCTACAAGTCTTTCTAGTTTAGTTAGGATTAGAATAAGTGTAGTTTTTTTTATTCTATTGAGTTTGCATATAGTCTGCATCTGTTTAGAGTCATTTCTATTCATGTGGTAAGATTCTTTGTCTTTTAGTTCAGGATTTGAATCTCCTGCTTTCAGTTAACCATGTGATAAAAGGGGTCTGTGATCAGTTGTGTGTGTGTGTGTGTTGTGTGTGTGTGTGTGAAGTAAATGGCTTACATTATTAAAGATCCTACCTGAATGCGTGTTCCTAGTGCAATAGCATTGGAAGCTTCATAGATAAGGTCAGCAGCATGCAAACCAAAGATATGAACTCCCAGGATTTCACCGTTATATCATAGAGATGTTAAAATGGGCTTGAAGCCCGCGGGCCTAACGGAGATAAACGGATGGACCCGTTACCTGTTTATTATGATATAAAAAATAAACAGGTTTATACAGGTCTGTCCGTTTAGGTCCATCTCGTTAATGAGCATACCCGTTGAATAAGTGGGTATTCGTTTAGGCCCGTTTATGATATACTATATCATCTGCAAAAGGAGGCAATGAAACTCTTTGCTCTTTCATGAACCATAAATAACCAACAGTTTTTTTTTTTGTTATCTTCCCCTTACCTTAGCTATGCCTTCTCCTTCATTTTCAGCCAGGGCCTTTGTGTTAGCCTTGAAACTTGTCTTGGCAACACTAACTTTGATGAGTAAATTCTCGTCTTCAGTGCAAAAGGATCTTGAAATTACCTCTGTCAATCCCACCATGCTTATTTTAGGATGGGTACAGCAAGCAGCTGGGATGCTAAGATGGTTAAGCACATGATCTCTACCAGTGACTTTCTCGACCACTAGCCACAGGGTAAGAGCATGTAGTTTAATACAAGGTCCAAGTAGATATAAAGAAAACTATTGACTGTTTTTCACTAAGCCATTTACCAGAAATTCCTTGCGCACTAGCTGCATGTGCAAGCATCAATTTACCATTGGCATCACCAATGCAGTACTAGTTCGGAACCTACGAAGTAGAAATGAATTTAACATTTCATTCTCATCAGCATCTCTTTTCAATCTGCCTTGACTTGTTAGTTCTTACACGACCCATGTTATGTTCCTGCAGGTGACGAAATCATACTGATTGATCGTAAGATGTTTAGGGACTTCAGAAAAGATGGTCATAACTGGAAGAAGAAAAATGATGGAAGGACTGTTAAAGAAGCTCACGAACAACTCAAAGTTAAGAGTTGTTTTTCTTCTTCTTACCTTAAATCCTAAGAGATCATATCATGATTTTTTCTCTCCTTTACCAATAATGTCTGTCCTTTCTTATTGATATGCTAGGTCGGTGACAAGGACATGATTCATGTGTACTATGCCCACGGTGAAGATAACACTACCTTTGTTCGAAGGTGTTATTGGTTACTAGATAAGTAGTTGTTATTCGGCCTTTTTTCTACTATGTTTCTTCCGAAGGTTATGAAAGTAAAACATCCCTTCTATCTTCTCTTTTCTTTTTTATGTAAGGCTTTAGAGAACATCGTCCTTGTAAATTACCGTGATACACAGGAGGTTTGTCTTTTGCTACCTGTTTTTTATAACTCTCGCTTATGTAATGTTAGCAAATTTTGAATGGACCAGGGTGATTTTATTTCTAATTATATAGCCAGAGTCTTTTGATTGGTTGGCTTATTTGCACACCTTGTGAGAAATTTTGGCTGGTAAAAACTTGATATGTTCAGGCAGGGCAGCTACGCCATCAGGGGACTCAAACTCTCAATTATCGATTCCGTTGTGTCCCTGTACAATATGTCCAGCCATTGTTTCATACCTCCTCGCTCGCCTGGCATGGTGATTGGTGAACCTTTATGTTAGTGCAGACGGGCAGAAGCCAATAATAAGCCAGTGTTTCAGCTTTGAACACAGCCCAGTCCCAAACTTGCTTATCTTCTGTTTACGTCAAGCAATTAGACTCCAGGTACGCATGGATAAGACTTGAGTTCATAAGTTTTGTCTGAAGTTTGCAACCCATGAGCGTCTGTTAAAGCCTGTTTCTTTTGTTTTGTAGGCTGCTTTCAGGGGTTTACAAGCAAGGCAGTTATCACTTATCAGGTGGAGACAAAATATCAAATTGTTTACCCCAACCGAAGTATCTACCTAAACTCGAACAGAAAACCGAAACCTGATCCGGACCCGAACCCTTCCTTATACAAAGATTTATAAGTTTAGTACTTTGGAGTTTGATTATAACCAGAACCGAATCAAAATCCAAACTAGAATCCAAAAATATCTAAAATTAGTTAAATATGTTAATATTTTTTTATATATGTTAAGGGGATTTAAATATTTTAGAGGATTTAAAATATTTTTTAGTTTTCTTTATTTATTATTTTGATACTTTTTAGTTAATTTGGATAGTTTAACTAATTTTTAATTAGATTTATAATTGGGATAATTTGCAAAATACCCTAATTAGGATTTGAAATTTGAAAAATACACTGCCTTTATTTTTATTTTTAAACTACACTTTCTAATTATGAATTCACTTTTTACCCAAGTTAAATATTTTAATAATTAATATATAAATTCGAAATTAATAAAAATATTATAATTATTTATGTTTTTAGTTAATTCGTGAATCATTGTGCTTATTTCTTAGTTTTTATAATCAAACATAGGGGTATACCAAAACTTGTACCAAAACTATAATTATAGGAAAAAACCATCAGTAGTTCAAGAACAGAGAGAGAAAGAGAGCAAATTTCATGGTAACATTAAAACATAATATGTTGTAGCCGTGTTTGTGCTGCTGTTATTTGTTTGAATTGGGAGTTTCTATTTCATAGAATATAGAAAGAATCGATAGCTTTTTAATATTGTTCCTTTTAGTTTGTGAAATCAGTAATACTGGACTGTTGGATGCGGTCATTCTCTGAGGGTTGTGCACAGACCTCATGGTACGGGATGATTTAGACTACACGATAAATTGCTAGAGGAAGATATAATAACTAATAGTTGAAACTAGGATTTCTTCTTTTTATCATCATTTTCTGAAGTCATTTTGGAGAATAGTGGTTCCAAAATTTATAATTATCAGAAGCAGAGGTGCTATATATTGTTGTGGCTTCAACAATAGTTCTAAGTACGGGGGCAAAGACATCTTTGCTAGTGTCTTTTATTTAAATATATTGGAATGCATATATTCTGATTATTGTCAGCATAACGTGTATACACACTGTTTTGCTTATTTTTGTTTGCTTGCTTATGTCTATATCAGGAATTGAGAAATATTATGATTGGGTAATTTGGTAAATTTATAAATACGTAAGTGTATTTTTCCAAAAACTTAAATAACAGTGTAATTTTCAAACTATAATCTTGTTTGAGTGTATTTCCCCAAATTTCCCCTTTATAATAACATATATTTTTAAAAAAAAAGTTTGGTTAGATCTGATCCGAACCGAATCCGGAAGAAAATGAACCGAATTCGATTCAATAATTAGTCAAACCCGAATGAGACTTCTGAACATAACACCGAAAATTTAAAAATCTGAATCACCCAAACCGATACCAAACGGGACATCAAACGTCCAGACCTAGTCTGGCCATTGGCGATAAGTTGACTCTCTTTAATCTTGGGCTTTAAAGTAATGTTAGGGCGGGCCTAATCACTCTCTGTTCCATCAACGGCGTCTTTGAACATAACACCGAAATTTTAAAAATCTGAATCACCCAAACCGATACCAAACGGGACATCAAACGTCCAGACCTAGTCTGGCCATTGGCGATAAGTTTACTCTCTTTAATCTTGGGCTTTAAAGTAATGTTCTAAGGTCTCGTAGTTATTAGGTGATATTTGGGCGGGCCTAATCACTCTCTGTTCCATCATCGGCGTCTTTGTAAGCAACCAGGTCCGGCTTAAGAAAAATTTGGGCCTTAGCAAAATGGTTACAGAAAACAAAGTTGAAACATGCAAAATGGTCTACAGAAAACAAAGTTGAAACATGCAAATGGTCTACAGAAAACATATGTGCCTTTATGGTTTATAACAGGCGAAAGAATGGGCGTTGATCCTCCATAAGAGATTTTCCAATTGTTGGAGGACACGTAAGACACTTAATGGAACTGCATACTAGCAATGCTACAGTAATGCTACTGTCAATAAAACTGCATACAAGCAATTCTCCAATGATGTTATTGTACTCACCACGAAATTTGTTGACAATGACATTAGATATGAGATCCACTACGGTGGCATGATTGGCCATAGAACCCAAAACCGGAGTTTCCTTAAAGCAAAGGGAACAAGAAAACATAAAGTAAAATGGAAAAGATATTAACAATCAAGAATGTTGCAGAGACTTCAACAATCTTCGATACAAAATTGATATTTCCATTCTCTTTCTTATGCAAAACATGCACATTTTAATTCTTAAGTACTAATCAAACAAAAAGTAAGTAGGAGAAGAAAACCATCAAATAAAGCGAAAGCAAGACTGAGGATAGTGTGATAACTACGAGTTGTGTGGAGGCTAGCATGAAAATAATCAAGAGGAGGTCAATGTCAAATATCACAAGTTTTGATGAGTTTATCATCAATGGAAGACGCATGCTGAAGACCAGGAATCATACTAGTACATGGAGAAGATGACCAAGGCGACGATGCCATAACACTGAATCTTCACGCACAGTAGTAAGCTTTATAGTCCCATGTTTAGAAGCTGCAACGTCTGATCCTGTTGGTACCATGACCGGTATAGATTCAATATCATGGAAATTGTCCATTAAATCGAGCTTCCTGGTCATATGGTGGGTCGCGCCTGTATCTAGGATCCAGACACATTCATCACTCTTACCTTTTAGGCCTGTATCTAGGATCCAGACACATTCATCACTCTTACCTTTTAGACGATCTGTTGTTGCTCCGTTGTTAACCAGTTTCTGGACTATACTCCATTGTTCATCGGTGATTCCGCTTAACCGTAGACGATCTCTGCATCCATGATGGTCACGTTTGCCTGGGTTGTTTTTGGAGTTGTGTTTAAGACTGTTGCAGTATTAGCTTTTGGCAGTGTAGAACGATCTTTAGTGATATTGTTGTTGTTGTTGTTGCTTGTAAATTTGGTATTCCGATTGGTGTTGCGGTTTCTTGCCCGATCTTCCCACCTTTCTGGATACCCATTAATTGTGAAACATGTTGAAACGAGATACAGCGAGAAATATAGTGCACACAGTAATTCCAAAAGACTCTTATCTCTTTTATTAGAAATCCTTTACACAATCTCTTACAGATTTGTTTGATCCGAATTACACGACTCGCCACGGATCGATTCCTAAAACACCCAAGTTGCTTGCCTCAACACCTGTTGATCAAGCCTACCAATTCACTCAGCTNTTTCCCTATATTTAATCATCATAAATCTCCTAATTTCGTCAACCAAACATATGGAAAATATTCCACATCATCGTTTTTAGCGTTTCCTTTATATTCTCTGAATCTTGTGTTGCACATCATTCTCCATGTGTAACACACATCACGAACCAAAGCTTTCTCACTGCAACAATCTATCAAGCTCTAAATTTTTGAGCTTACATTCTCCCCCTTTTTCACTGAGTTTTACAACTCAAGCTCACTAACCTTTAACACACTATGCTTCATACATCACACCAAAAGTATAGACTTTTACTCCCCCTGAATCAAGTATCATCTCCCCCTGCTTGAGTGAAAAACTCTTTGAAAAATTTTATGACACTTGTTAGACCATCAAAACTCTCAGCATCTTCTAGTAGAAGCCCATCGAACTGGTTCTTCAAGCTCAGTATATTGGTCTTCCATTCGAGTGTATGACACACTTGTATGCTCGTGTGACACACATTTTGTAAACTTAGGATACAGATCCTTTTTAGCTATCCATACATGTCCATACCTTCTGGGTTCCACATAACAAAGGTTCATCCTCCAAGTTCTCTCAACCTGGTTTCTCTGAGAATAACAGAAAGCAACTTTATGACCAGGATTCCCACAAAACAAACATCCATTTCTCCGAGTTATTGCAGGTTTGGGAAGGTGAACACTTGTCTGAGCTTTATGTTCCTTTTCCACATGTGCACATGTATGTGTTTTCTCAACTTTTGAGGTAGTACCTTTTTCAAACTTGAAAACATTGACTGAACTAGCTTGATTTTTTGGAGCAGCACCCTTGTAACCTAAACCCCAGTTCACCTTTGGAGATTGTCCAAGTGATAAAATGTGATC